CCATAAGGTTTCCATAACTTTGCCCCACAAATTTCCCAAGGTTCCCACAAGATTGCTCCAAGATTCCCACAATTTTGTTGCAAGGCACCGCCTAAGGTTCCCCCACAAGGTTCCCCCAACCCACATTGTTGCTTCATAAGTTTCCAACAAAGCATTTGCTCCAAGGTTGCCCCAAGGTTCCCGCAGCTTTATTTCAAATTTCACGTAAGGTTCCCACAATTTTGTTACAAGGTTCCCAGAAACTTCCCACAACTTTGCCCATTTTGCTTCAAGATTCCCACAAAGGACCAAAGGTCCCCACAGCTTTGCTCCAAGGTTGCCCCAAAGTCAAGGTTCCCACAGCTTTACTCCAAAATTACCACAAGATTTCCACAACTTTGCCCCTCAAGGTTTTTCCAAGGTTCCATAAGGAATCAAAAGTCCCCGCAACCTTGCTCCAAGGTTGCCCCAAGGTTCCCACAGCTTTGCTCCAAGGTTCGCGCAAGGTTCCCAGAAAATTTTCTTCACTTCGCTTCAAAGTTCCCACAATTTTTTTTGCAAGGTAAGGTTCCCACAACTTTGCCCCACAAGGCTCCCAAGATGCCCACAACATCGTTCCACAATTTTGCCCCACAAGGTTTTTCCAAGGTTCCCACAGCTGTATTCCGAGGTTCCATGAAATTCCCACAACGTGGCCCCGAAGTTCCCACAAGGTTCCTAATCGACAACCAAGGAAACCTCATTATACCTCAAATCTATTTCATTGTGTTTCCTACTATTACCTTTTGCCTTGCTAACCTTTTAATATCCTATCCTTTTAATTTATTTTATTAACCTAAAAAAAGTGTTGCATTTTGCGCTTAAGCTATTAAGGATATTCTTTAGACGTATTAATAATTATGTAGTAACACTTAATTGGTGGCATTTTAATTTAATTAAGAATTAATTATTGGTAATTAGTTAGTAGCAGTTAATTAAACATATTTAATTCGTGGTAAGTAGTAACGATCCTTAGATGCGAAAAGATATATTCAATACCCTAGCGAGTAGTAAATATGCCTACCATACAAATCACGGCAATACAACGACCGCGACTCACGACCACTAATATACATATCAAAGAAAAATTAAAGATTCATTAATCGTTATCTAGATATTTAGTTTTCATCATCAATAAATACCTCTAATTCATATTAAAATTTCTAAAACTAAATATCGCGAACCAAAAATAACTTTTCCATAAGTCCCCCGACGTATATATATCTTTCCTAAAAACAATAGTAATAATAAAAATAACACTTTCTTCCGCGGCCGGCCAACCGACTAGAACCTATAAGGAGTTGTGGCAAGATATCACTGCGGGCACAATTAAGAACATGAGTCAGGAGTTCCGGCACAATTGCTTTTGTCATCTGACCCTGCGCCAGCCATGAAATCTGGTGCACTCCTAGCTTTCTCAATTGGCCGGACCACGCTATCTTTTCACTCAAATCTTGCATCAAAAAACAGGTGTATTTAATATATCTGTTTTTCCAAGCCAAACAATGCTAATGATGCAACTGGCCGCAGGCAGCATCATTCAAACGTCACGTCAACTCAAGACGGACGGACCCTATGCCTGCAACCAAATCTGACACTTGTCTTCTCATCTGGACCACAACTTCTAACTCATGCGGGCATTGTGTCCACAAACCATCAAAACATTATCCTTTAGGAACTGTTCGAGCATGCTCAAATTCTGGTCATGTTCACAATGTTTTTGGGTGATGAGAAAGGATTTGCAGTGCGAAGCAGTACGTGGCTGATGAGTAAGGATTGCAAAATTGGCCTTGTGCCTCCGCTAACTCCTCAATCACTTGAGGGTAGTATACTAGCAATGGTCTTCCACCCTAGGTAGTGATGGCCTCCAACCTACAAGCTTCAACCTTCCAACTCTTTTCGACCAGCTGTCTTGCACCGATGTCTTGCCCTCCCGACTCCGCGTCTTGCCAGGCGTGCGCGCGCCCAGCTCGGTTCGCATGCGCCGATGACCTGGACGAGAAGGCGCGGGTGAACTGCAGCTGGTCATGGCAAAAACATCCAAAACACTCGTTTCACCCTGAATGACACTCCCTTTTTGTAGCCACTTTTGAGGATCGCCAACTAAACTAAACCTGTTTAGTATATTTCAGTCCAAGAGCGCACAATCCGACAGTTTTTTCGGCTCACCTGGAAGAATCTGGTTGGGGTTTTAGTAGGAGCTTGAATAGCACAGGTCTGAGGCACCGTGAGCCACCGTGAGGCACCGTTGGATGCACTGCATGCATCAAGGAAGTGCTTGAACATGTTGATTTCTTGTTGAAATCAACGCAGAAAAAGTCCTCCACTTCCAGAAAGCTACCTGCGCAAAGGCGTGCCCCACCTTCCTGCGCGCCCCATCTTCCTCGTGACTCGGGCTGGGCGGCTGGTGAGGCAACCTGTGGCCAGTTTCGGGCTTCAGTTATCACATCACTTCGCTCTTCAGCCCTTCCTCGCCTGCACTGGATCTGACTTCAGGCTGTTTCTGTTTTTCGACCTCACCGTCCACGTGCAACTGGTCGGACGAGATGGGCATCGAACAATGGCGGTCAACTGGCTCCGGTCACGTGATCAGCTCCGTGTTTCCAGGGCCGTCTAGGCTGGCCGTCCGTTCTGCCCCGACCTTGAAGGCTCCGTCATCACCGCTCTCAAGTGATGTTCAGCACAAACGCCTAGCAGATTGAACACATGGCCTCAACTTAACCCCGACCGTGTGCTTCCCCCAATGAGTTGCAACTCCAAAGAACCTTGTGTTGCCTCTACTTTCATGTGTTTCATGACTCTGCCAATGGATCAAGCGACAGTAAAATCCAACTCAGCCCAAGGTTGGCATTCAACGGAGCTCAACGTCCGGCCCAAGGTCTGGTTCCCAGCCCTGGCACTAATAACCGATCCAATCCCAAACGTTTAACACAAACTCGCCAGCATAGCAGTGGATTGGAAGGAAGCACCACAGGATGCTCCAGCTGCAAGATGAAAACGTCCAGCACCTCAGGCGGAGAAGCAATAAAGTCTTGTGGGCTTGGTGGCTGGTTGTCTGCATGAGTCTTTTGTAAACAAGAATTAGCCATAATTAAGCGTACATACGGTGATTGTTAAAGCTCTGTTCTAGGGTATCCTGCAAGAGTCTCCAGTGCTCAAAAGGGTTGAAGAAAATGAACCAATGAACGTTCTCTCAGGCTCCCACGGCGGAGTTCACCTTCAGGTTCCGCACCCACCTTGGACTCCAGGATCCACAGCTGAATTGAAAAAGGCCTCCAAACAAGAACTCTTACCGAGTTATAGTGGGCTGACCGCTTGAGTGGAGTGTTTTGCAAGTTGGAATTAGCAATTTTCAGGTTTCAACGCGGAAAAAAAGTCGAAGAAGGGTGCATGGCCTGCTCTCAGAGCAGTGGTTTAGCTTTGCATGTTCCAGGCGTTTCTCACTTGGCGGTAACGCAAGGGACCCACCACTTAGGAGATCCAAAAAGGTCCCCAAAACCGCCCTGAACACGAATCACCTTCCAATCAGCACCCAGCTGTCGAGATCATCGCAAGTTCCTGTCTGCATCCCACCGAGCTTCGGTTTAGAGCTTTTGGGTAAATAATTCAAGCATCCTGCTCTCAAATGCAGAACTTTCCCAGCTGACGAGCTCTTCCCAGCTGAGAAGTCAGCTGACTTCATGCCCCACAGAATCCCGGCTAAGCACGCCGCTTTCCAGCCGCTTGCACCTCATCTTGGATACATATATGTATATAAATTATACATATGTATACAGTATACACATATAGATACGTGATAATTGGATACATCATGATAGAGAGAGATCCAATCAATCATGGGTCAGGATTTAGGCAGCAAGGTCCCTTTGTTTCTTTTTTGTTGGGTCTTGTGAATTGGCCGAGTGTGAGCCAATAAGGAATCAAAACTCTTGAAGGACATGCGACTTTCTTGAAGAGCTGCACATCTCTATGGACTCCTCAGACTACTCCTGACTGTTCTGGAACTGATTCATGGGAGATGTTGGGGGCTCCGCCACTGACCGGATGGGCCATATAGTCCCTAAACAAAAAGAGACAGCCTTTGGAGTCTTAGAGGCCTCAAGTGCCACAAATCCGCAACCCATTGCAAAGCAGTGGTGGGTCAGAAGTGCATGAAATCGTCTCATGGTGAGTTTTGAACATCCAAGAAAATCGTCTCAAGTCATGGAATAGCTGCAAGGCGGACATGGACAAGGACAACTGCGGCGCTGGCCGTGCGATCGTCCAACCATGGGGTCACTGCCTTCAGGCAATGCGAATTCCGAAAGCATCTTCGTAGCCATGAACCATACAACTTGCAAAAGAGTCGCCTCGGGACTCTAAAGTCTAACCTATCCTTTTTTTGACTCCAAAAACTGGGCTCTTTGGGCTGCCGCCGACCAGGCCTCCAACAGCTCATTGGAGTGCCGTGGTTGCCAGGGCGCCCGAGTGCACAAGGTGATGTGCGGCCTGAAGAGTTTGGAGGGAACGATGTTCGTCACAGCTGGGGAGGTGGTTGAGAGAAATCTTCATCAGCCGAAGAGAAAGTGGTGCAATCATCAACCCCAAAAAAACGATGTGACAGGAAAATCACAACCCTCCTTCCCTCTGCTAGTTGACAATCGAAATCTATGGACATCTATCTATATAATGGAAGCCTCAAATATTCAAGTGTGACAACGCCTTCCCCAATTGGCCTATTGAGTCTGTCTGCACCGCGCCCCACGAAGGACGAACTCCAAAAACAGGCGCCTCTGCTGCTCCGCCATGGGCAAGCCATCCGAGACCAACTGGCCTCGATCCACCACTGCGAAGGCTAAGGCGCCTGGCGGTGTGGATCATGATCCACTCGACTGGCAGGGTGTACCAAGTTCAAGGAACACTGACCAAACAGGGCAAACGTGCAAAAATACGCAGGTTAAGCCTGTATCTGCCTTCTACCTCTTGCTGGGTACCACCTGCTTCTAGTGTATAAAAGACAGGTCGAGAATCGGTGCCCGCCCTCTTCACCAGCGTCAACAGCGGGCACCCCCGACAATCAAAGTGGCAAACCACGATCGCACACAGTGGCAACTGGTTCGACTGGCATCAGTTAAATCATTGACAAGACAAGCACGTCTTTTTCCAAAGGCTCGCGGAAAATCCACACCGTTGCACTAAAATGCACTTAAATGACTGAGCAGGTGAAGTCGGAGTGCATGCTTTACATACTGACGCTTGCTACAAAAAGTTGTGGCTTCCTCACTGGTCATAAATTGAGTTACTGCTTCAGCAGCCACATTTTCAATCCAAATGGTTTAGTTAGCTGCCTTAGCATCTCACACATCACTATACCTTAAAATATTCTTATTACACCATTGAAGGTTGGTGTCGTTGGTGTCTAGATCGAGGCGCCAGGGGGTCAGGAGCACTTGGCTATGTAATGCTATATATACACCATCTCAAGGGTTTGGAAGCACACCTTTGGCGTCTTCCACGAGGAATTTGGTCCTCACGGATTTCAGCCACAGCCTTTTCCGCCGCTTGGCCGTGCTTCGCCACGGTCCTCCGCTTCGCCTATTCCGAGCCCTCAATGGACCTCTTTTCTCCATAGTCAGCACGCACCTTCTGAACAAAACGCTTCACTTGATTAGCGTCAGTTGGATACTTAAAGCCATAGACTTGACCTCAATCGGGCCTTTTTGGTCCCTTTACCAAGTTGCTCTCGTAGGAGCGCATCTTCTCATCCTTTCTCTTCTCTTTCTTTTCATTTGGCTTGGGATATCCACCCTTTTTGACGGCGCTCATTTTGCGAATTGTGGAGCTGATGTCATCTGGTGCCACCAATCACCATACTTGACCTTCAAGCTGCCAGCTGGGTGTTTGTCATGGCCACGCTGAAACACTTCAGACACATGGCCAGACAGCCATGCCTAGTTCGATGAGCTCCACACCTCTACTGAAAGGCATGCAGAATCAACAAAGATCTGTGGAGTTCGAACACCTTTGAGCCACAAACTCAACAACTATGCAATTAATTCCACGCTCCAAGTCCAACCCCATCCCGCACTTCCATGACCACTTCCATCCCTTAATGACTCCGTTTCGCAGTGAGGTTTTTCAACAGCTCCGGTTCCCGCCGATCAACTGCACATCCGCTCGGACCTCGCCTGGTGCTCCGACTAAATGTGTGATGCGCAAATCAAAGGCTTTCCCTCGGCGCGAATCGGCATCGATAGACATGGCGAACTCGGCTTGGCTTGGTGCATTGGAGTCACACCACATCACCATCACTAAACATCTAAGCTAAGCTAAGCAGCTGTTCGGATTAACTTTGAGGTCGTGCGAACTTTCTGGCTTGCCTTCGTGGCATGCCAGACCTAGAATTCCCTTCTGACCTTACCAAATTGGTGAGAACCAAGTTACTCACCTGAGACATGACATCGAACATCAAAAGTGAGTGCCCATTCTGACTTGTGGTGCGCTTCACTTCTCCCGCTAGCACTCGAAGGACCCCCCCTCACCCTAGACATAATATGTATTACACGCAATCCATAATCATATGGACATAGACTATATATCATGATTGATATTAATATATACATTGAATATGCCTCCTGGATCCTCATGGCCCTGGCATTTCAGGGCTCGTGCACCACCCTATTCGTGTCCACATCTCTCCACCAAGCCACCCTCCAAAACCAACGCCTTCGACTCCGCCACCACCTTCCGCCACTGCGCCGCCTCCGCCGCCCCGCCCAGGTAGCACGTGGTCACGTGCTGCGCCGCCGGGCGCCGGAAGGACGCGAAGAGCTCGCTGAGCTCGTCGCCGTCGGAGCGGAGGTCGGCCACCGCGTGCAGCGCGGCGGAGGTCTTCTCCAGGAGCGACTCCAAAAGGGGATGATGGGCATGGACATCCAGCGCCACGTAGCGGAGGGCGGGAGCAGAGAAGCCTGGAGTTGAGAGTTTTGTTCTTGGAGTGATGGGGCGGGTGAAGAGCCAAGAGCCTTGTGTTGGTAGTAGATGCTAAGGTCGAATCAAAGACATCGACAAACACTAGGATACTAGCCTGAGGACACCCTTGTCTACCCTCATCCTTCTTTAGCTTCACCCACTGCAGCCGTGAAGCCCGGTGTAGTCATGGACTGCTCCTCCTCGACCAGCAGCTCCGGCCAAAGCGCGTCTAGGCATCGCTCCTGGTGCTGCCTCTGCACCCCTGGGTCCACGGAGCGCAGTCCCGGCGCACGCAGTTGTGTCACCAGGGACTGGAGCAATGGTCGGAGCTGCTGCTGGTTCTCCTGAACCGGGTGGAAGGTCTGAAGGAGACTTCCGACCTCTTCCGACCGAGTTGAAACAAGAGGAAGCCATGGGTCGACATCGCAGGTGGGAGCTTCGGAATCGGAGAATTTGGTGGTGAGAGCTTCGATTTCAACCACAGCTTCATCCGCATCGGCAGAACATCTGCGTGCCAGACTTGATGGTCCAAGGTCCAAACGAATCACTCCAAATCAGCTAGGTCTCGAAGGGCTTACGCATCAGGTCCAAGGTTTGCCTCAACAAGGCGCGCACTTCCAGCCGGCACCACATCCATTCCTCCGTGCTCCTCGTCTCAACGAAGGCCGAGGCCGAACGCAGGCCACAAGGGCCAAACAAGTGCACTTACAATAGTCCGTTTCTCCCCTACTTCAGTAAAGGAATCACGAATTGCCAATGAACAAACATAATTTGTTTGCGTGGTTGAAGGATGTTGAAGTTCTAAGACCCCAAAGAAACCCCGGCACCGGCGTTGCCCACGGTCCACTAAACACCATACGTCCGAATGTATCTCCACCAGCCATCACCAGCTCACATAGATTTCAAACCCTTCCGAGGCCAAACCTAAGCTCCACCTGCGCACCACTTCCGACACCACTTCCCCGGTCAAGACCCGGTCTAGCTCCCAAGTGTCCCCGCAAAGGAGGCCAAGTTGGCACAGGTCGAGACGTAGGGCACCTGAAGGACTGGAAACTTCAAGTTGGCGGAGTTGAAGCGCTGGTGGAGCTGAAGGAAGCTCAACAGGACGAAGAGGGGCGTCTCACCTTCCGCACCGGACGCTCATAGGCGCGCAACACCGCGCAACACCGCGGGCCAAAGCGAAGAGGAATGTCAAGTGGCACAGAAGTTGAGAATTGTGGGGAAACCTGTGCTGCTGGCGAATGCCGGGGTGCCCGTGCTCACCTGTGATAGTTTGGCGTTCTGAGCCAAAAAGTAATGAGAGGCAGAAGCGTGCACGAAAGATGGTGCCCTATATATTGGTCAAAGCGACGGGCTGTTGAAATCCGGCCACTCTCATTATAAAAGCTTGTTGGCCCGTTCATGCCCATTCTGTGACGGCGCTTGGAGGCATTTTTCGTGCTGCTATCAAATCAGTGTTCTGCAATCATATTGGGACATATTGGGACTGTGGCAGCTGTCATGTATTTTACTCTCCTGTTGCAAGTGTTGCTCGGGCAAAGGGTAAACATGAGAATTGTGGGAGGCCCCACCAAAGATTGAAACCATGTCCACAACATCATTACCTGAAAGTGGGTTCGTTCCAGCTGTTGGGGACCCATGCTCCCTGCCAAACAGTACATCCCAAAACCCTCCCAAAAGGGGATTCTAAACTTTGCTCCAAAGTGTGAAGTGTCGTCAAACATGAGGTGGAAGTCACCCAAGTGTGCAACTGCCCTCCCAGCCCTCCCCTCCCCCAAAAAATGAAGCACATTCTTCTTCACCATCCCACCATCCGAACCCCAACTCAGGTCCCAGTCGCTTCCCGTCAGGGTCTCGTGTTGCGGGCGCTTCAGCAGCCGGGCAGCACACTCCGCCAGGACGTCCAGGCTCCAGGGGTAGTTCCAATCGCCGAAGTGGCGCTCCTCAGCACCTTCGAGGAGACAGGTGCTGACCCCCACCGAGCGGCATGACGGTGAACATGACAGGAAGGACGAAAGCGTCACCGATTTGGCGGCACAGAATGTTCCCAACGATCACTCAAAAACATAGTATCCTAATATATAGCTGTTCTTTGTTTTGTAGATGTTGTGCTGGCACCTGCAAGGAGATGCCAGCATCTTAGAAGCTTCCTTTATCAACAGCCAGGTCACCCAACAGCTCCACTTCCACCTCCGACATCGCCGGAGCATCGGCCCCTTCGATGGCCAAGACCTTCGGCAGCAGGCGGCAGCCGAAACTCTGGCAGGTGACCTGAAGCGCCTCCACCTCTTGACGGATGCCCGACGGTGGGTGGTTCCTTAGGAAGCGTAAGCCAAGCAATGAACCCTTGGTCTTCAGCGATGAGGTCAGTGACTTGCACCCCCGGAATTTGCGAAGCTCCGTCTTCCTAGCTCATATGATCACCTGTCCTAAAAGAGTCTCAGGTCGGTCCGATTTCAGAGTTCTCTCCGAGGCGCTTGTCCAGCAGCAGCAAATGTGGCCCCTCTGCCGTGGCCGCCGCCACGAACTCTTCCACCGCCACCCGATAGCGCTCGCTGGCACGTTTGCGGGCACGGGCCACGTCCTGCCGGGCTCAAGGAGGGACCACCGTGTGAACGCAAAAAGCGTACACAAAAGTAAGATGAATGAAGTGAGTCACAGTCTCAGATTTTTTTATTGAGATCAATTTGGCATCACGTTCGATATTGAGCTACTGGCCACACTTAGAAGCAACCCACACGAGACAAGTCATCGTTTGTTCAGTCTCCTCCCAACCTAGACCCTTCAAAGCGAACGCATCACTTTTCTCGGGATGCCATAGGCATGGGGGCATGACACCCTGAGTCTGGTCAAAATGATCAGGCAAAGCTTTGGTGGCGAAACCCCGGTTCCGAACGGTTATCTCTTCACGAGGCCGTAACAGAACACTTGGTGACCAAAGACCTGAGCAACTGGAATTCACTTCCGGAGTACCCAGGCCCCTCACTTCGCACAAGAACATTTTAACCACTCACAAGACAGGGTTGCGAACGAGAGCACTCGGCCAACGAGCAAGGACCGTCTTCCAGCCGACGTGTTCACCACGCATCAAGTCATCTCTCGAGGGCGCATCAGCCGGACTGGCATCTGTTGCGACCCGATCTATGAAGACTCGAATCTGGAGCTCTCGAACAAGATCCCAAAATACCGAAATGAGCAGGCAGAGATCTTCTCTTGAAGAATACCCTTTTATCAAGGCCGACTCAACGACTTCGGAATCTACGAAAAGTAAAAGGTCTGAAAAACGAAGGCGATCGGCAAAAGTGGTCAAACTCACGATCGGTGCAATCATCTCCACTGGAATGATCTGCGTCTTTCGAACAAGCCACGTCTCCTTCAGCCTCTGTGGAACGACCTCAGTGAACTGAAGAGGATCCATGGACCTGCGATCAAAAAGAACAGCACCTACCCGATCGGGTTTCACATCGACTTTTGTGGGGTCAGGGGAGAACCCATCCGTGAACAGGACATCGTCTGCTCGTTTGTCTGCACAGAAATCGATCGTCCTGGGTGGACCCTCACGAATCAAGATCAGCCACTGTTTGAGCGACTCTTGCAAAGGTCTGTCCAAAGAGAAACGATCGTTTACCGACACTCGAGCGTACTGTCTTTCCGAGATGGTCCTAAGAAAAGCCCTCCCCGTCTTGCCCCAAAGCTGGCTGGCTCCAAACATGAGCTTACCTTTTAGCTTGCCAGCATGTCCTGGATCCAGCGTTCCCGAATCAAGGATTGCTTGCAGCTCTTCAACGAGCTCAGTCTTTCGATCGGCCTTAATCTCCAGGATCCAGTCGTCTAGATTATATGTCACACCGAGAATGGTCGGACGAGAGGTCAGTTGCAGCTTCTTGGCACCAAACCTTGCACCCAACATCCAGTGAACACTGACAGACGTCTGGAAAGCCGATTCGATCGATTCGACTGGCTCGAACCCATACTTGTCGTCATAAAAGTTGAAGGCTATGAGATTGAACAATTTCAGAAGAATTTCGTTGATAGCAGCCGAACGGCGGTTGTAGTTGTAAACTGCCGAAACAAGGCCGAAGGAATGACCAACCATGATGAAGAACACTGGTACACCTCGAGAGGGGTCCTTCAAGCATATGACACTGAATTTACGATGGTCAGGGCGAATGGCCACTTGTCGATAGGCCTTGCGCTCGTCAAGTACCCATCCGGCCAGCTTCGAATCAGGCAGAGCCGATCTGAGACACCTGAGAGCCACCACGTTCACATCAGTCGAGGGCAATTGCAATTTTTCAGTGATCACTGTTGTCTGGTTGATCAAGTTAGTGGTGGCGCTGTCGCACCCCCAAACCTTATTCTTTTGAACAACTTCAAATCTCTGGGTTGGGATCCAATCATCACACTTCAGGAAGTTCGAAACCTCTTGACAAGAACCGAACGGCCCAAGGGTCGAACCCTCCTGAACGTCCTCCAAAGTGGCGTCCCAAATCTTCTTTAAGTTATCCGACACCGGGACACCTTGCGCTCTAGAGACAATTTTTGAACGAATCTCCCAGGCCCTTGAACAAGCATGTTGAACCGAAACTGTCTGTTGGGGCTTGTCGAACGGCGGCCAACGACGCGAACGAGCAATTGGACCAACGATCGGAAGCCCTTGCAGTAGAAGATCCGGTAGGAACCTGTCGATCGAGTCGCAGGCTTCCAACATTTCGTAGTACAGAGCAACGTGACAACAGGCGCCGAGTTGGCACGGTTGATCATCCGGCACTCCGCGAAGCAAGGTCCTCAGCGCCGGATCCGAAACGGCCCGGAGCAAACGATCGGTCGCAGGCAAAAGTTCGAAAGCCCTGGCCTCCCACTTGGACAACACTGTCATGCGAGTGGCCACAACAGAAGACACATTCTGAGCTAAGTTGTTCACTGCACGCTTCATGTCTTGATCAAGTTCGACCTCCACACTCAATGGATGTGCAATCTGAAGTGCCCAAGCGATAGCTACCCCGGGTTCCGTTTCGACATGGTGCAGTGGCTTAAGAGCACCACGTTTGAGCTGGTAGCCTGAGGCCTCGGCCTTCAGTGCTGAGAGGGCCTGACGATGCTCCTTCCAACGGAGTGGTTGCCCGAGCGGGCGCTTTCTGCTGGGGGTGGAAACTCTGCATGAACTGAAGGCCACGGTCCGGCCAAATCAGCCGCACCGCTTGTGCAAAGCGTTGACAAAGCTGATCCGGATAGACTTGTGCCAACTTCGTGCGAAAAACGAGCTTCTGAAAGAACTCAGACCACACCTTACCTTTGAGCACTTCATGCACATGAGATCCATCACAACGAACTGTCAATGCGAGCAGGCAAGCATGCGACACAAGTAGGGTCGTCGGCTTCATGGACGGAGCCCCAAACATGCACTGATCAAGCTCAACCAACCACGCACGGGCGCGCCGAAGCAACGAGCGAATGGCCGGCACTTGCCAGAGCAAGCTCTTAAGGGGGTTCTCGATTGAGAAATCGCCACCTCTGGTGAAGACTGCCAAACATGCTTCGACAGACCTTGCAACGAACAAGTTCCCCAAGAACACAAGGGCAGCATTCTCAGCCGAAAGTGAGCTCAGACCCAGCGGCTGGGCCGCCGAGCGTAGAGGGGGTGGCCCCCCGTCAGCCTTACGAGCCGCTGAAAATGTGTTACATGGCGTGCCACAATGGACGAAACGAACCGCTCCTGCACAGATCAACTCCATGACAAACGACCATCGAGCTTCATCAAGGCACTTCCGAGCAGATCGTAACATCGATCGGTGGCAAGGTGGGCACACCACAAGCACGCATGGCCTTGGTGAGGCTGGCAGTTCCTGAAAAGATCTCCAAGAAGAAAGGTCCGGCTGCACACGCTTGAGCGACATCTCTGGGCACGTCAACCCATGACAGCCAAGGCGAGCAAGAATCAGACACTTTCAGTTCTGGATCCAAAACTTCATGCTTGTCCGGCGGCTCGACCTGTTGTGGAAGAGGGGGCTGAGCCGGGGCCCCCTCTTCTCTTCAAGCAGTGCTTCAGTGGTTCCCGTGCCACGAGTGCTCCTTGCCGCACTCGACGCACAGACGAGCACTCTTACACTGATCACCAAAGCGACAGCCTAACGAACAGTTGAACCAAGCACACCGTTTCTTCCCTTGGTATTTGAACGATCGAGTTGATCTTGTTCCACTCTGCAGCTGGGGCGCGAGCGTCCTTCTTGGAGTGATCCTTCTCTGAACGAGCCTTCAGATGGTCACGAGCAGCTTGGAGAGTCTTCTTGGCTCGGTCACGTCGAGCTTTGATCTTCTTGGCCCGAGTCGAGGGCGACTTCTTGGTCGGCGACTCCGAGCGATCACGTCGGAAATTGTTTGCGCTGATCAGCGTTCAAGCGATAGACTTTCTTCCGAATCAACGAGTCAACGGACAACAGCAGGACCAAGCCATGATGATCATGCCTCCATTCTTCAAGTTCCGACAGGTAACGTAAGGGACCTGCCGCATGTGAAAAGTCACAAATGTTGAGGTACTCTAGAGCAACAAAGAAGGCATGCAACTTATCCATGACATGTGACTCGGATGCTGCAGCAGCGGGTTGATCAACGGTCACAACACGAATCAAATCCTCAGCATTCTTAGTCAGACCACTCTTTTGGACGATCGTCTCACTTCGGGTGCGCATCTCGCCAACCTCGTAAAAGGGCACAGAACCGTGCACGAGGAAGTCTCTTTGCAAACGTTCGACTAGCTTCCGATGAGGCTCACGATGGTGCGGCAAGAGAACGTCTGGATGTCTGACCACGAACTGCTCGCGAAATTCTGCATGATCATCGCCTGGGATTTCAGGAACCTTCGAGGGATCCTCCTCCATCTTTGCCCGACGGGCGGCGAAGTGTTCTTGCAGAGATGAACATGTCTTCCAAACAGCTGCAATCGAGGTCAGAGCTAACTCCTGTTCACCTGCAGATGCTCCAAGAAGGGCATCGTCAGCCACGATCGTCCTGACAGAAGCCTTCACTGCAGCGATAGTATCTCCGAGCATAGCAAACGCCTCGACAGTCAGGAGCTTCTTGTCCGCGAGCAGCCTACACAAGGTCTGAGGCAGTCTTTGTCGGCCAAAAATCTGGCACAAGGCCAGCTCGGGCATAGCATCCGCTGCGTAAGTGGTTCGATCGACCATGGCTTCCTCTCACCCAGTGTCCCATGAAAAAGAGTTCGAGCATGAAAAACTCCGATCGCACAATATTCCGTGCGTCCGGCCCAACGAGTCCCCCCTCACACGTACTGAAACATGCCTGGGAGGCCTGCTCCAGGTGTGGGTGGCGCCGAGCGCGTAGACACCTGATGGAATGAGGCGACCTCAGGACGAGCCTTGGCGCACGCTTTGCAGAGCACGCTCTCATCTGGCAACAGATCGCCCGCAGACGAGCAGTCCAAAAGAGCGAACTTGTTGCAAGCGGTGAACTCTTCGTTGTCCCGTGAAGTACAGTGAAACTTGTATTCATAGGACGAGCCGGCGCTAGGCTTCTTGATGAAGTATTCGACCCCGTGCAAGTTCGAGTCTGGTGCATCCATGAGCAGTGTCTCTGAATCTTCCTGACCTGGATGACTTTCCTGAACAAGGTCTTTCACGAGCTGCTTCACCATCAGAGCCGGAACTGACGAGCGGTTCCGTGTATACTTCAGGACGAGTGGTTCTGGGTTTTTCCAGTTCGCCTGGAGCCCAATCTCTTCAGTTGTTCTTCCCGCATGAACAGCGGCATCTAACAGCGTCACCCTACATGAATGCATGGTGAACTTAGAGATGCTAGTTGCACAACGAGACTGAGTAGTCTTGCCGAGGTGAGACGAACCGTCCACAGCTTTCCGGCTCAAAAACTTCATCCACTGCAACGATCGTGTGAAAGAAGGAGGCTCCATTCTGAAAGTCTGCTGTGTATTCAGCTCAGGCATCCAAAAGTCACGATCGGTTTCAAGGTGGGATTGAAAAAGAGCCCACCCAGTTTCCAACCATGAGGCGTCTCGGAACCCGACTTTCGGAACGACGAACCGAGTCCCTACCTTCTTTCTTTCCACTTTTGTCTGCCAAGCCACTCCGAACAGGCCTTCATCTGCGAGATGCAGTTCACGCGGCTTCACATGGATCCCGTCATCGAAACGCAATGAAGCGAAAATCAAACATAAGACCCACCACATGAAAAGCCTGGCCGCTTCGGGGTTGGCCCGTGACACCACAAACTCCTCCACCCTCTTTGAGGGTCTTTGCACGATCGCTCATCACCGATGCCTGCAGCGCCTGAAACTGATGGGCCTCGAAGTCCGGGGAGTCGATCGCGAGTCGCGCGCAGACCCATGCACTTCACTGCAGCTCGAAGGGTTGGGAGAACGGAAGGTCCACAAAAACGATCGTTCAAAAATAAACAATACTTCAAGATCTTGTCCATGGTCAGGGGGTAGAGAGGCACGTCCAAAGCCCCAAACCACCTTTCCAGACGCTCGAACGTCTTGATGTGACCAGCCATAGTCCTGTGAGCTCCAGAAACTGGAACAAGATTCCTGAGCTGCATCTTTTCTCCCTGAGAAAGGTTGGGGCCGAGTTGGGCGTCCTCGAACAAGCGAGCATGGTGCCCTGCTCTCTCCCCGATCGCCTCCAGCCTAACAGCCCACCTCTTCTTCTCCGACTTCTCTTTGTCGAGCAGTGGAGTTGAAGAACTTGAGGAACTCTCAACCGTAGCCTTGGATCGTTTCGGCTGAGCGAACGGCTTGGCTGTGAGGTTGGCGATCGCCGCCCGCTTCTTGAGGGAGGCCGAAGGGTCCACTGAAGGAGTGCTCGAAGATTTCTCACAAAGACCAAACCCTAGCTGAACAGCTGTAGATTCAAAGTAGGCTTTCTCCACAGAGATCGAGAGGGTCCAGAACTGTTCTAGCATGAGCTCACGTCCTTGGAACACTTTCGAACCGCTCTCCTCGAACGATCCTGCCAAATCGAACACCTTCTGGGCGAACTGAGTCCCTGAAGTGGCCTCAAGAGCAGTGACGAAGGCGAGCGAGTTCAGCGGGGTCTTCTTAACCGAGCGGGCGAACTCCACATCAAAGACTGGTAGATCGAGGATCCTCGAAACCCAGCGATCGGTCTGCTCAGCCATGTGTTCGAGCCCGGTCCGTCTTTGAGCCTCAACACTAAAGGTTGAGAAACCTTGTTAGGACCATGCCCTTCGCGGGCTCAAAGGTTCTTTGGTTGCCCGCTCACCCACCCAGGGTTGCACGAACGTGAACACTACTGAAACGACAAAGCGACAGCGAATTCAAACGAACGTGCAACACTCCGAGAACAGGCAAAAGGACATGAACTGAACTAAAATACATAATCTGAACAACACTCAAATAAACAAACAGAATTAGATCAGGGAACCCCATCAGGCCACGAAAGGGCCGGCTCCTTGTAGTCGAATGCTACAAGTGCGAGCACACCTTCGGGCGAGCGGGCCCCTGAGTTCCCACAACCCACACCGCACTGGGGGATCTGACCTCGCGCGAAAGGCAGTGCCAGACAATGCGGCGTTGCCCGATCGGCGTGATCCGGTGTGGTTGCACTCACTGAACTGAATGATCTAAATGATATGAACAATAAACTGTTCTCAGTTTCTGAACGCACAGCTGCCCTTCGCGGAAAAATTTTTCAGCTGTACGGATTCCGAGCGAGTGGTGATCACCTCTCGCTAATTTGAGTCATTCAAAAAGGATCCAGATCACACATCTGTCTGCGGATCCGGCTTTGGAGGAGCAAAAGATCTGGGCCCGGCGCCGCTCGACTGATCAGGCAACTCAACCACCTCTTGGATCCGGACTCTTGAAGGTTCGTTCCATGCATTGGGCGGTGGTGCCTTGCGAGCAGCTTTGACGAAAGCTTGGGGCGTCATCGCCGAGCAATCCATGCCCTCAGATCTCCTCTGCTCCAGCGAGCGTCGTGATGGCGCTAGAGCACCTCCTGACCAAGAACTCGGCGGCGGTGCCTTTCCCGGCGCTGTCACCGATGGCTTCACATTGCTGATCGGCGCGGCTGAAAAAGCATCGACCGGAGTGGGCCCCACCAATGCCGGCGGTAGCTGAGGAGCTGCTGCCTTTGGCTGCACCGAAGGGCCATCAACGATCGGAGGCACGATGCCAGCGACCACTTCATCGAGCGGGTCATGGCTCTGCAAGGCCAAGGCCTCAGCATTCACGATCACACGCTCCATCTTGAACAGAGGGCTCCGAGACGAGGTGCACGTTGATCGGGTTGCTCTCCACTGCGATGGCAGAGATGCGAGGACCTGTCTCCTCCTCGGTCGGCGCCTCAATCTTTGACGTCCAATTGGCATGAACAGCCGCCAGCTGAGCCAGTTGCAGCTGTTGATCAGGACACTCAACTCGGGCACCATGATCACGACACCATCGAGCGTTTCGGATCAATGTCGGACCCGAAATTCGGCTGAAAACCAGCCACGTGGGTGGCACCATGGCCGTGCTGGCCGACATGTCAAGGCGATCGCCAGCTGATAGGAATCTGGTCTCCAGACGATCTGCATCGGCGCCCAAAGAGTCAGGGGACGCCGTCGCTACGAACCGAAGTTCGAAGTGGCATAGTGGATAATCCAGAGCCACAACAATACCTCCGTCCGAACATGCGTAAAGGCGACCGCCAACTTCCCACGACACTGCGACCACTCTCCAGCCCTGAAATATAAAAGATGGTGACGACCACGCTCGGGATGAACACCGTGTCCGCCAATACCTCCTGGATCGTGTCGGCGATATGCCACAACTGGACCGAGAGGTCAGAATCAGAGCGATAGCCCCTGAGCTCAAGGTGCACCAGAACATGGCCTTCCAGCTTTACCTTCACGTCCATCCATGAAGGGCTCGAATCAGTCATAGCCGGCCATCTAAATGGCTGAAAAGCCGCATGCGACAGCACTTCTCCCGTGGCAGCATCCCAGCGAGCGCATGGCACGTGAGAGTAGCATGTCATCGAACCAGTCACAATGACCTTGACTGAATCTAGAGTCTTCACCATGAAGAGGTTGAAGTGGTATCCACTGGATGGCGAGCGCACCAAATGTCGATCAGACTTCAAGTTGACAAAACTCAGGGCATTGGTCAACACCTCATCGAGCAGCCAATTCTGGAATGGCGACTGGATCCTTTTGTCCCTGTTGTCAATGATCAGGATGGAGCGCTCACCCTCTGCTGAACCAATCTGTGAAAGTTTTGATCAGGCAGCTGAGAGTTCAGTGGGTTGTGGGCGAGATTGCCCATGTTCCCCGATCGAAAAGCTCTTCTTCCTCTCCGAGCGGCTTGCTCCTGTTGACGTCTCAACCTCCTTGAGGCAGGTGTGTCATGAGCATGGTCAACAAATGAGTGAGCAGCTTGCAAGACTGGAGCGGCAGGAGCTGACGGTGGAAACACTGTAGGAGGAGGGGGTGGCACATCACTTGATGAAGCACCTTGGGGTGCAGGATCCGCCTGAGTGGGAACATCATTCTCAGGCACGGTCGGCATGGTCGAAGCCGGTTCCTCCTGGCGATGGCCATCCCCCTCAAGATCAACCCAAGAGCCAGATGAAGAACCATCGTCCCAGCGCGATGAGGCATTGAGCATCTGCCGAGCGAAGGCTGCTGGGATCCGGCTCTCAGACATTGCGGCGAACACCCAGGCCTAAGAGAAAAGCTTCAACGTGCTCAAACCTGGCGTTCGCCGCACGTCTCTCGCCAAAATGGCAGCGTCGTACGACGAGTGATATCTAAAAATTCATTAATGAAAAATCTTCAATTGAACAAGGAAACTGAACAGCTTGCTATTAAGTGGCTTCCATGTTCCAGCCAACCTACCGACAACAAGGAACCATCATCAGAAAAGAACTCCTAAAGTCCTAAAGCATATGTTTATATCAATAACTCTCATAACTTCATGCATTTAGCGCTTTTGGGGCTTGCTGATTTGGGAGTGCACTCCGCTGAGATCAAAAAGTCAAACATCAACGCGCCAGCCGAACCAAGCCAACTGCAGCGAATAGGTTTCGAATGGTGTCGATATGTTTCAGTGATGTAAAATTATACACCTCCCTCTCTACACAACGCCTTTGCACAAAGGATCTGCTACATTACTTTCAGCACTTCAGCCAGCAATCCCCAAATCAGGTGAGGACTGGTTTCTCCTTCAAACAGGTGAGGCGGATCCGACTCCTGCGAGGAGCACTCGTTGGCAGTCAGGCCCATGGACTTGAGTTCCTCCCCAGTGAAGCCATCACCTTGGACAGTTCCGGTGCCCTGATTTTGCTTTGATCGTCGCAGTTGAGGTCTTCATGTCCGAAACCTTTTGCTGAAAACAGGTGCAACCATAAGTATGGCTAGTAGCGATGCCCTTGTGACTAGTAGCTTCTTGTTCTAGTAGTAATGCCAGGAGCTCCTGGTAGCTTCTTGCTCCCAGTTGCGCAAAAGAACTATATAAGTTCTTCCAACGTTCACGTGATTTGTTGTTGGATTTGTTGGCCAGTGGTTGCCCACACTTCACCAATAACAAGTGGCTCAAGGCCATCTGGAAGCCTGTTGCGTTTGGTCAGGGTGCCGTCGGCTTGTGCATCATCTGTCGAGCATACGGCTTTGTTGCCAGGCAGTAGCATGGAGAAAAGGGCAACTCTCCTGGATTCAAACCGCCATCGCACGTAGCATGCTTTGTTTCAAGGCAAGTTCATTACTTCCAAGCCCAGGCAGGTGACTCATCTTCTATGCTCTGCCTCCTGATCTCCTTCGGATTCCGCTCCGCCCACCACGACGACCACGACCATCCCCCCGTCCCAACGCGTCCCAGTCACTCGACACGAGGGCCACCGAGCTGGGAAGTGGCCCGACCGAACTGGTCTCCGAGCTGGTCGAGGCCGGCCTCAACGGGCGCTGGAGCCCGAAGCCGGGGAGACCGCGGTGAACAGCGGCGTGGATGAAGTGGTCAGCAGGTGCCGGTGTCAATAGGCCCAAAAGCAAAAAGAAGGCGATTATTATATAGAGGTACAATATTATAGTATATCAAAATGCATACCTAAGTTAAATTTGATGATTGTGATGATCACTATGAACCTACGTGCTGCATCACTCTGGACCCATGTTTGCCTCGTGCGGAGTTCTTTCTGGAAAAAAGTTGTGGCAACAAAACACGTCAAGTACCAGCACTTAACCACATCAACCACCTGTCCAAGCCAAAAAGAGTGCTGATCAGTCTCAGCCCACCTCATCTTCCCCGAACCCCGCGCCTCCCCTGCCGATAGCACTTCACACCTGATGCCTGACACCGCTGAAAGATGCCTTCCAGCAAGGAGCTCTTTCCCATTCCCGGCAGTGCCACCGGAATCACGGCCACAAGTGTGGGCGTCCGGGCACGCCGCGCCGCGTCCGCGGCACGCTCACGCGGAGCGTCCAGGCGGCCCCAGGCCGCTTCCACTGCGCTGGCCACGCTGGACATGTGGGATGTGGAGATGACTGAAGTGGAGGGCCACCAAAATGTCTGGGAGGAAGGCAGCATGTTCTTGAGGCGATGGGCTTGTGCCTCAGGATGGAAGGCATTCACTCTTGGTGGTCCAATAGATTGCTTGACGGGTTGGAGGTGATGGGGCTGGGGGTGATGATATACCGTACTTGATTCTTATCTACCCAAACGGTTGTACAATCTGAATCTGGAACGAAACCTCTTCCAACCACCACCTAAATGTTGTGATCTACATGGTGCCTACAATGACAAGGCTGAAGCTTAAATGACCTGGTGCCGCTCCACTCTTTTTTATGGTGCGCACCTGCAGCTTTCCAAAGAACACCCGGGCAGCTGCGCCGTCTGTGACCCGCCGGCGCTTCCTCAATCGGCGTTCCAAGGGCGACCCTGGCAGCTGAGCGGAGGCCGAAGCATCCAGCGAGGTGGCTAGGACATCGTCCCAGCCGCAGAAGAGGAACCTGGGCTTCGTGGATGGATGGTCACTACAAAACACACACACACACAAACATATTTTGTTTGGAGGGGAGCCCAACTACCTATAGGCAAGGCAATGTCAACCGGACGCTTCTTGCGGGCCTTTGTACGATGGACAAAGGAAGTATGGCACGTATACCAAGAATAGGGAAGAACGCTCAACGATATCACCCCAGAACATCATCAGTCAACCAGAGACATCCAAATTCCGACACAAATGGTTCGATTCATTCTCCCAAGCATCACACACCGCTGGCTCACGGCATCGGCCACCCGCAGGTCGCTCGACGCGCGGCGCTCGACGTCAGCGCGGCGCCGCTTCAGCGCGGCGGAACCGCCGCTGGGTGGGGCGAAGAGAAGGGTCTCAAGCTGGGCGGGGATCTGGTTGAGGTACACCTCCAGGCTTGGCGGGGATCTGCGTCGCCAACTGGATGTGGTGTTTTTAAGCCAAAGGTTTCTTTTTCCGGGTGATGGAGGATGGATCAGGTAGTAGACCCAGTGAGCGGATCACATGGTCAGGAGTCAGAAGTGAATGTTTTTGAAGTCAGCAAGGTAGGCGAATGCCAAAGTCGTCTGTTGATTGTGCAAGATCACTGTGGACACCGCTCTAGCTACCGGCTACGCTGGTGTTTTTCGCCCCCACATTCCAAACGAAAAACATCAGGCACCACTTCGGGCCTTCGCGTGTGATGCCGTAGAACTATGCCAGGCTGCTGCTAAGTTCTCTCTATGCAAGGCTTCCGGCAGTGAGACCTGCCCTGTGAGCTGACTGCTCTGCTCTGTGACACCTGCTGCACCGCTGTGACTCAGCTCTCGCTTCTCCAGCTGGATTTGCAAAAGCTGACAGGTCTCTGCTTTCAATTGAAAAGGTGGCGCCACCACGCCTCGGTGACTCGATTCCCAGGCACCGCTGAGGCGCACCGGTGTCAAGTCTCAGCCTATCTCAGCCTAATTACTTACCCACATGTGTCCTACGAATGTCACCTCCAAGCCACACAGCAGTGGCGCTGGCTTTCGTGGCCCACGAGGCACGGCGGCACCCTCATCGCTCTCCCTCGCGCGGCTCAGCAGGTCCAGGAAGTGTTCATCCACCTCCTCGGGTGGCAAATCCTCGGCGAAGATCAGACGGCACAGCCTCAGCGATCCACCCGGGCTTCGAACGGCCCGTTGCAACCACCACATTCACGGTGGGTGGTTGCGTGGCGGAGGTGTCCTCTCTCTCTCTCTCTATATATATATACGGTTGACATCGCGTGGAACGAAAAAGAAGGCCCTACCCATCCCTACCCCATCTATAGTCTCAGCTGCTTTTGTATGAAGACATCTGGCAGCGTATTCTGAAAACTGTGCGATCTATCTGACTATCTTGATCCATACTTCACGCCCGGTCGTTTCCAATGTCAATCATCCCCAAACATGTGAAGCGACCCAGCTCGTAGCATTCCACCTGTTAGGGCCACTGCGATCGCCAAATTCGGCCAAGCCGCTTACCCAGTCCAAGTGAATGGTTCTTCACCACTTCCTCTGAGACATGCGCATTGTAACGTGCTTCGCGTTCAAAGTCCTCTTGGACCTCCTCAACCAGCACGCATCCTGGCGAGGATTGCTGGAAACATGCATGAAAAAGCGCAAGAAAACACCGATTCCCTTCAAAAGCACAATATTGCACAATATGCACGTCACCTCACAATGAATCTGAATCTAATATTGTTGAACCAGCCGAAAGGGTTGCAAGCCCTGGCGCATCACACCTCCCTCCCACTACTCCGCAGCACACTTCGCATCTCCTGCACTTCGAGCGAACTGCTTCGCCCTGTCGCGCATCCGCCGCAGGAGTCGATACTCTGCTGTCTTCAGCTTGCCCAGGTGGATGACCTTCTCTTCCTCAGCCTCCTGGAGGATGGGGGAGAAGTTCCCGTAGAACACTGGAAGTTGCCAACATCCTAAACACGAAGATGCACTATAGTTCGCTACTACTTGGCGCAACATAAATCGCAGCCGCAGCCTGTCAGGTCTTGGTTTGACCAACAAATCACTGAAACACAAGCCTCACGGCCTAACATAGCGTATACATAGCGTATACTCCATGCCATGATTAGTCTAAGGCCCTGCAAGGCCATGCACCACAGCCATCCACAGCCCTTCCCTCCCGGCCCATCGGATCCGTCCTTGGGCGTCGCCGTCACGTAGATCACGGCGCCCTCCCCAGCGTCCGCCACCGGCGCCGCCTCCACGGCGGCCGCCAGCGGCGCCAGCTGCGCCAGCAGCGCTTCGCCCTTGGCCGCGCGCAGCGGGGGAGAGGCGGCAAAGTCCACGGTGGGTAGACCTCAAAACGACGGCTGCTTGGAACGAGCGAAGGCTTCATCCAATCAAGGCTTCGTGCAGAACGGTGCCGGTGAAGCACGGTGCAATGGTCTGACTCAAGAGTGTTGAGTGGGTAGTTGCGTGGACCAACCTGAGGATTACTTTCAGATCTTTTTCAGGCAGGGCAAGACGAGGAGGCTCTGGCTGTTTCCAAAGGCATCGAGATTCTGTGCGGGCCCGGAGTCCAAACGGCAAATGTGGCATGTTCCGGCTTCTTGAAGTGTGATAAGGTTTCATGCTTTCATTTCTCCATGTCCAATTGGATCCAATTGGCAAATAGATCACCTCAGGATTTTTTCTCGCTGGACGAATGCCGGAAGTCAGTCGGATCTGCAGCGCTGCGGATGGCGTTTCAGGGGAAAGGGGAACTGGGAAGGCCATTTCTTCGTTCTTCGTCTTCTGCCTGCGTAGTCCTGCTTCAAAGTGGACTTCAGTCAGTCACCCTCTGTCTCCCTTTCAGGCGGACCTCTGCACGTGAAGTTGCTTCAAACCCACTGGAGATCCGCTCCCGGCTTCACCACCCCCGCTGCTCCGCTGAGAGGCCCATCGCTTTAAAGAAAGCTTGGCTTCGCGAAGGCGACCAGCAAGCCTCATCCCCTTCGTGTGGGACCATGGCAAACCAACGTAGCTGGCCTCAGAAGCAGCAAAGGAATCCAATGGATCTCCAGTGGTCTCCAGGGCAAATTTCCTGTACAAGCTACATGAATGTAGATGGGCTCCTGGCCTTGGGAGATCTACATATATAGCACCAACTAAGCATCTCTTGAACCCTGTGGTCTCTCAATGTCTTTCAAGCACCAATTGCACCAGCACAGGCCCCATATAGCTAGGCAGAATCCAACGACCCAAATAACTCAAAGTCTGTAGCTGCTGCCACGTGGCTGGCTGGAACTAGAATGTACATGCGGCCAGCACAGCCAGCTCATAGCACCAGCATGCACCAGCACACCAGCACCGACAGCCAGCTGACACCAGCAACGGCACCTGCACACCCTGCCGCGACAGCATGCACAGCCAGCAGCAGCAGCAGCACCGACACCCTGTCTCGAAAGCACGCACAGCAAGCTCATCCTTATTTGAAGTAAGAACTCCATATATATATATATATTGCTATCTTGGGAAAAGGGGCTGCACAAGCAGAACCTGGGGTCGTCTGTGCAACAAAAAGCACGATAGATCAATAATGACGATCAATTGATCCGATGCTTCAACGTATATGTCTCTTTCACTTCAGCCGGTCTCCAATAACCCAGAGTGCTTCTCTGACTCTTAAAGCCAAGCCCAGGGGCGCTCTGGCCCATACTGTACCAAGTGTGCGCCACTGCCACCCACCATCTCACCGATGAGGGTTGCAGATGACAAAGTCTCCCGCAAACACAGCTGTGAGGAGTCTTCCTTAGTGTCAACGTGGGCAGCCCAGTCAGCCAGCCACTCAGCTTGTCACCATCCCGCCCCAAGTCGAACCACTCAATCAAGTCTCTAACTTGGACAGCTGCAGGAACCATACCGCTCCGATCTGGCGTGCGAAGCGATACCTGCGGTCCTGCCACTGCGGCAGCTGAAGCTCTGAGGCGGTGCTGGCCAAGAGGGACACGTTCTTCGAGCAAAGGACCCACTTTGCTGAGTCCGCATGGTAGGAGACTTGGGCATTCTCGCCGTTGGCCTTTTCCAACCTCGAGCAATGCATCATCCATCCATCTCAAGTTCCAGGGTGGGATGAACAAATGAAGCCTTTTGGCGTTCATCGGTCGGGCCTAATTCCATCCAGTATGCAACAAACTTTGCCCAAAAGCTGTGCAGATGGACACTGCAATGAACTCGTCGGCATGTTCCTTTGGTTGCAGCATGTTGTAGATCATGCCCTGGGTGCGAGTTGCATTTCGTCGTTCTCATCTTCTTCCGTTAAACACTGCAAACACATCGAAACGGGTGCCGAATGGAAAACAGCAGGAAAACACACAACCACACCCAGCACCGGCAGAGCACGGCACACCCAGCACGGCCCGGTCCACCGCGCTCGTTCAGCACTGCGCCTGGTCACCGCGAGGGAACTCGCACCTTCGGCTGCTCGAAGGCTCTCCATGAGCAGCGTGGATCCGGGCGTGGTCCGCGCCTGGCGTTTCGGTCGGTGCGGGGTGAAACCCCCTGGGAGACGCCCCAACAGATGCCTGGAGGTCTGGTTTTTCTGCATCCGTTCGGTGCGAAGAATCTTATTGAGTCTGAGTTTTCCACAATATGACTCTTAGATTTTAGATCTTCTATGATGTTCTTATCATTCAGCATTTTTTTCATGACTTGAGCATCTCGGATTCTGATCTTCAACCATCCACACTTCATCCCCACTTCATCCCCGACCTCCAAGGTCCCACTCTCCAGATCGAAGAACTTGGGCAGCCCTCTTCGCACCACGCTGATGCCGCCAGTCCCACTCTCCAGAAAGCTCAGCCCGCGACGCAAGCACCGGCGTAATGAGGCGTCCTCCGCAAAGAGCGTGTCCTCTCGGCCAAAGCGGACAAGGTGAGGTCCACTGCGTTGAAGCAGAAAACATGGGTGGTTCTCAACTGAGATGTAGGATGATGTAGGATGACACAGCTCCGACTACATCTCTCCATTTCGTGGCTGGCCAGGTGCGAGTGGGTTCCCCCAACCGCCCAGCAGTATATAAAGAAAGAAAACCCCAAAAACATTCCAAACCCTTGGTCCCCTCATAATCATTCACAATCCCTCTCTGCGCTTGTTGATCGCTACCTTGACCGCCTTGACCAGTCCTTCTATGTGTTCTTCGAAGGAATCCCCTGGCCACAGGTTCGATCAGTAGGTAACGCAAACCCTCAAGTTCCATCATGGCTCCAACATGGGGCAACACATTGACACATTGTGACCAAAAGTAACGCATACTGCCACACTGCCACATACTGCCACTACGGAAGGAAAGACCCGAAATGAACAAACAATGGCAACTCCCTGTGGGTCCCTCGGATGTTTCCGATCGATGCCCCGGCTCGATTCCTCCGTCCTCAGATCGATTCTTCAGCCGGCTCCGCGTCAGCGCCACGTCGTGCAAGACGAGACCCTGCGGGAAGCCCGGCGACCTCGGAGAAGCGGCGGAGCGAGTGAGGAGGGTGCCGTAAGAAGTAGATGGCGTGATTCAGAGTAGATGGCGTTTAGGTCTAGGTCTAGGTGGTGCACACAGTGAAGTGCTGTGTTGAGATCCTTTTTGTTGCACTCTGGAAAGAAGTCACTGACAAAATGATAAGACCCATTGAGCAGGGTTGGAGGTCCATACAATTCAGCAACCACTGTCAGTACCACTGTTTGTCAATTCGGTCACAAGATGTCATAAGCAAGTGGTCATGAGTTCATGCCTTGAGTGACCTTGCTCCAATTATTGTGGAAGATGGTGCCTTCTTCATCCGTTTTCCATGAGTTTCTTTGAGGAAGCTTGATCAACCTGCATCCCACCAGCTGCCAGAACCGAATGTTCCCCGCAAAGTCCAAATATCTTCAACATCCCTGCAATGAATCATTGTCAACCCGTGGTAACCCGTGCCTAGAGCAAACTTGTCTCTTGAATCCGGGACTTCATTCCAAGAGATCCAAGTGGAAACACCCAACCGACCGACTGTCCCCGCAAGGATCTCCACCGGAGCACGTGGGAAGCCGCCGGCTCACCACGTGGACCAGGGGATTGGCCTGGACCCAGCGCCACAGCTCCATCGCTCTAGGACGCTCTTCGGTGGCTCTGGCTCAAAAACGAACGGTTTTGGATGCCGCGCCCAAACGGAGTGGGTGCCAATCATGGAAGTGGAAACGCAACTCGGGGAACAAATCATGCAAAAAAAATCCAAGGGAAACAAGTGAAAAATGAAAAATCCTATAGTTGAACTGATAAGGGGACCGTTCTGCAACATCCAAGAGCTCGGAGCCGAAGTGCAGGCACCAGAATGAAATCATTCCGCTGCCAGCGGAAAAAGAAAAACCACACAAAAAAAAATCATATGGTTCATGCCACTCTTTCTTGGCGCATCAAAGCCAGGCAAACAAGAGACGACCGCGGCCAAGAATGCCCAATAGGAGACGATCGGCACACGGTGAAGTGCTGAACTTGAGGCCCCCGAGCGTCTGACTTACAACGCTCAGCTGGAACAAACAACGAACAATTGGAGCTTGGCAACCGACCCTGCCCGGTGGCACACCCGTACCCGGCCGCAGAATGGGTGGCATATTCTGATACAATGGTCTTGCATCCGTGACTCTCGACTTTCTCACGTCGGCGCCAAGAACCCTCGGCTCGCCCCAGAACGCTTGTGCAATCTTTTGCATCTCCACCGCCCATTCGCAGTGCTTCCGTCGGCATGTTTCAATTCCGCCCAGGTACGCCTTGGGGGCATGTGGGCGTGCTCAAATGACCACACACTTGGCTCCGTTGAGCAATCGTTAACACAAACGAATGGTCAAACCTGGGAGGTCGTCTATGCATCGTTCAGGCGAAGCTGACCAAAAAAACGTTGGCGTGCAAGGCAAAAACAAGGAGAATGAACCTGAGCTCCAAAGGTGCCAACTGAGCAACTGGGCTCCAAACGAAAGCGACGAAAGCGACCAGTTCTTTGAGGGAATCCATCGGTGACCCGAGAATCGACGTCAAGATACGTCAGGTGATGGATATGTCGCTTGGAGCAGCTGGATACATCCGGTTGAACACTTCTACCTGGAGGTTTGACAAGGGACCACTTGCGTCCTAGAGGTCCTACAATTTCGTAGCGCGCTGTAAGCTGAACTGGGTCTTTCCCTTGTTCCCCATTTCATCAAAATTAAGAACACACTTGGAGAGTTCCCGCAGTTGGACAAGTTAAAAATACGAGGCCTACGTCTCGTAGACCGTCACACTGTACAAATTCAAGTGAAAACCTGGAACATGAAGGCCAGGGGGGCAGGAAAAACCTTCTAGGAAGGGAAAAAACCTGCCACCGTGAAACAAAGTGAAACGAGGCAACGCGAAAAGGGCTGCCATGACAGCGGGTCAGAGGCCCCCAGGGCTAAGGCATAGACGATGCTGTCTCCGCCATTGGTGTCCCCGCATAGTCAGTAAACAGAAGCCAAGGCCCACCGTACTGACGGCCGCCGTGGTGCAAGAGAAAAATGCAATAAAAGGCCGGGGTCCAGGAAGAGGAAAGGCAAGAAGCGAACAGCCACCATCGGCAATTCACGGTTCCAGAAGCAAGCCTGCAACAAGGCCGGAGGCATGTGGTGGCGCCGCGGCACCACGATGCCGACGGCGCAATGCCCGTCCAGCCCCTCGCGCCAGCACGACAGCAAGCTGGTCCAGGAGGCGAGCCTTCACAAGGGTCAGATCAATGCCCTCGACTGTGGCTACCAAGCCAGCCAGGCGGTGAAGGAAAGCCCGCGTTGCTGCCGTGCACCCACCATAGATGTCCCACACAAGGGGCTGGTAATGAATGCCTACTTGTTGGCAGGAGGCCGCGGTATCCAAGTGATCCCGCTTCCGCTGCGCGTAGGCAGTGACAGCATCTGGCGCCCCGCGTAAGGTGTCATCCCAGTGGCTGGGGCCCAAGGAATTGATGATAGCCACATCCAAGGCGAGGGCACCAAGCCCAACGGGCCGGGAGCCATCAGGCAAGGCTGGAAGAAGGCCAACCCCACCTCGCAAGAAGATGTCAGCAGGCCGCCGTCGCCCATCCCAAAAGTCCAGGGGCTTCTGCCTGGGGCCGCAGCTGGGCCCGTGCACAGTAGTCGTGCAAGAGGTCCCGCAAGCCATTGTGGAGAGCAACAGCATCACCGCCGGCCATACAAGATTGTGGGTGGCGACCCTTTACATCCATAGGCAAACCGCAAAAACGGCAGACCCCGCCCCCAAGGCACACATCGACGCCAAGGCGACCACCCAAACAAGTCAGGAAATCATCCTTGGAGAGATTGGTGTCAAGTACGCGCGAAGGGACAAGGTTCAAAACCGTTGACTCAGCAGAACATGCGTGGAGGCGACAAACATCATCGGTGCCTGCAGCTGCCTTCCAAGCCAGAACGTGTACTTCCCGGAGTCCATGTGAGATGGCCGGTTGGCTCAAACTGCGGTCCGGCTGGTCCCCCA